AAATTGGTATATAAATGAAATTATGTGTATGCTTTGTTGTGGTTCCAATTTCACTCAGTCAGCCCCCAAGAGTGAGATTCATGTAAGACACTGCCTGTAGCAGTAGTTCATTTCCTTCTATGGCAGGGAATTGTCCATTTTGTGAACAGACATCATTTGTTCATCCATTCCTCTCCCTGTAGTTCCTGTTTAAACTAGATTTTTCTACTTTATCCTGTTTATATCATAAACATCAAAATTACACAAACAAAAATATATATTGAGAAGTCCAATACTACAAAAAGCATCTTGCAATAGGTGAAATGTATAATGAAATGAATGACAGCTACCATCTGTATCGAATCTCTATAGAACAGGAAAGTTCCCAGCCCTCCGTTGACCATAAAGAATACATCACTCATATGACATTAACCTGAAAATACAAACTGCTATGCAAAAATTATAAACGCGTCAATTCTTTTGAGGGGAAACATTGAGCCGAAAGACAGATTTAGAGTTAATGACACAGAAATAAGAAAACAGAAATAAGCACAGGGGATGTCTTTGATTGGTGCATATACACACGTACACACACACATGCGTACACACTCATACACACACAGAACTGCGGATCCCCAACATCTCAAGAGTAATTTTAGGTGTGGAGGTGAGTGAGACATCTGGGGACTCTTGTGCTGCATATTACAGACGAGTTTCCAGTTCTCTGTAGAGTATCTGATTCTTCTTTACCTAAAATCAAATTGGGTGTAATTACCTATTAAAGAGACTTGATACACTCCATATAACTGTAATAACTTGTCTTTTTTTAAAAAAAAGTTTTAAAAAATCTTTTTGAAAGGCAGAGTTTCAGAGAGAGAGAGAGAAATTGATTTTCCATCCACTGGTTCACTCTCCAAATGGATGCAACAGCTAGGGCTGGGCCAGGCTAAAGCCAGGATCCCGGAACTCCCACAGGGTCTCCCACTTGGGTGGCAGGGACCCAAGAACTGGGGTCTTCCTCCACTGCTTTCCGAAGCGCACTAGCAGGGAGCTGGGTGGTAAATGGAGCAGGCAGGACCAGAACGGGCACCCATATGGGATGCTGGTGTTGCAGGTGGCAAATAACTTTTCTATGAAGCATGTTTTCTTGTCCTTAGCCAATCTGTAAGCATGTGTTCAGAAATATGTTGGTTTAGATTCTTTTCAGAAGCATAAATACTTCAAAATAATATTAAACTTGAGATAGACAGTAAAAATAAAGATCTGCAGCTTGATTTTTTTTTCTCTCCAGAGGATCAAAATAGTCTCAACCTGTATGTTAACCATTCTCGTGATGTCTCATTCACACTCTCCATCAGTTCTGAGTCAGGGGAGCAGCCAAGAGTGTCCAAAAACATTTGTTTGTACTTGGCACTGTTTTCCCAATAATATAAATAACCGAAGAGGTTACTGCTTACGCTGTAGTGGTGATATCACTGTTCACCAGTACTTAAATGCCTGCTTCTCCTCTGCGAGCCCGAGTTCCACGCTGGAAAAGGTGACTGTGCACTGAGGAAAGCCAAGTGTGCGGGAGAGGAGGAGGGGCTTCCTTGGATTCTTGGACAGTCCTCTCAGCTCAGCTGGGCTCACTCCTATCACTACCGCTGGATGGGTTTTCTCACCCTCATTGTTTCTAGTTTTCCATATCAATTAAGGGAGATTAGCATCCCATCACCATCATCTCCTGACATCGCCCAGACCAGGCTGGAAATCTGAGCAGGTGCGAGGCTCCCTGCATGGCCTTCTTCGCCTTCTTCTCTGGAGGCTGAAAATGGAAGCAGCCAGGTGTAGTCAGACCGGCAGGGTTACAGTGTGTCTAGGAGGTTGTTCACTGCTCCTGCTTTCATTTGTCACTGGTCTCAGCTAAGCAATTAAAACGAAGCTTTTGTTACAGGAATACAGCCATCTCCCCTTATCTGCCATTTCACTTTCTGAAAAAGATTCAGTGGGAAAACTCCAAAAATAAACAGTTCGTAGGTTTGTAAATAACTTCTACTACTGTACTTTAAAAGACTTATTCTATTTTATTATTGTTAACCCTTTCCTGTGTCTAATGTATGAATCAATTTTATCATAGCTTTGTATGTGCAGGGAAAACATGGTCTATACAGCGCTGAGCCCTATGGAAGATTCCAGATATCCACCGGAGGATCTGGAGCACATTCCCCAGGGCTAATGGGGCGACTGCTATTGGCACAACTGTTAAACAACCAAGAAACACCCTACTTCTGAAATGTAGGTGCCTATAGAATTTTCCTCTTCTCTTGCTCAACTATTCTCAACTACATTCAACTCAAAATTTTAAAGAAAAGGCTAGTCATATTTTATCCCTCACTAAATAAGAACCCAGCCTTATGGTCAACAAACAGCCTACATCCGGGTTACACATTAAGAATCATGGGAACCATGGTCTCCGTCTACTCGTACATTAGGGTGGTGAACCCGGATGGGCTGGAGTACCAACAGTAGTTAATTCTGCAGTAGAGACACTATCACCACGATAACTGCTTACAATTACAGATTCAACAACAGCCCACCCGTGTGTTTGCTGCAGGTAATCCACATTCACACCTGGAGTCCCTCGCCCCCAGCCCCAGTGAGGGGAGGACCGCCATCGTGTGGCGACTCAGCAATTCTGAGACTCAGTGGTGTCCTCCTTTAAAAGCAGAAATCATAGCTACAAGACAGTTGTAAGAAGTGACACTGGAGTATATGAAACACCAAGCGTGTGCTTCTTCAGAGCAGATATCACTGGGAATTGTACTATTAAAAATAATGGGGGGAGGGGGATCGGCGCTGTGGCTCACTTGGTTAATCCTCCGCCTGTGACGCCAGAATCCCATATGGGCACCGGGTTCTAGCCCCTGTTGCTCCTCTTCCAGTCCAGCTTTCTGCTGTGGCCCGGGAGGGCAGTGGGGGATGGCCCAAGTGCTTGGGCCCTGAACCCGCATGGAAGACCAGGAGAAGCACCTGGCTCCTGGCTCCGGATCAGGGTAGCGCCAGCCATAGCGGCCATTTTGGGGTGAACCAATGGAAGGAAGACCTTTCTCTCTGTCTCTCTCTCTCTCTCACTATCTAATTCTAGCTGTCAAATAAAAAAAAAAAGTAACTGAGGGGCCAGCGCTGTGGCGTAATGGGTAAAGCTGGCCACCTGCAGTGCTGGCATCCCATATGGGCGCCAGTTCAAGTCCCGGCTGCTCCACTTCTCATCCAGCTCTCTGCTATGGCCTGGGAGGGCAGTACAGGATGGCTCAAGTCCTTGGGTCCCTGCACCCACGTGGGAGACCTGGAGGAAGCTCTTAGTTCCTGGCTTCGGATCGGCACAGCTCCGGCTGTTGCTGCCGACTGGGGAGTGAAACAGCAGAGGGAAGACCTCTCTCTCTTTCTCTGCCTCTCCTTCTCTCTCTGTGTAACTGACTTTCAAATAAATAAGTAAATCTTTAAAAACAATTGATTCTAGGTAGTCGATTGGCTGTCTATAAATGTTTACTGTCTTTACACAGAAAAGCCGCTCACTTTTCCGCTCCGTCATTTGGACTGCTCTCAGTCAGGCCCAAGTGAAGCTGGCATCTTGGTGCCAGGCCAGCTCTTGTTTGTCTGTTCACACTAGAAACCCTGAGGGGGAGCTGGCCCCACAGTGGACATGACCTTGCTCGGCCTCTCCGCTCCTCCCCTGAGAGTGGTTTGGACTCAGCTGCCCAACTAGGGCCTTTCTTGCATGGATCACGTTTTTCTCACCGGCCCGGAGGGAGGGCACGTGCAGAACACTCAGGCCCAGTGGGTGAGGACTACACTTTGTCTTCCAGCAGGCCTTTGTGGGGAAGTGACAGCCTACAAGCAGGGCCGAGGGTGGTTAAATGTAATTCCAGGGACACAGAGCAGGCAGCTGGAGTTCCTTTGACTCAGCTGATAGCAGAGAGAGCAAACCCCCCAGCAGTAGCCCTCAGCTACCCTAACCTCCAGGCAGCCTGGGTTATTTTTGAACACAGCTTTCTACATGTTAAAATGAGCACGTCACACGGGACAGAAACACGACAACGGGACCCTTCCTCAGTGGCTTCCCTGAGATTTGACCTAAGCACTACGAAATGGAAGGGGTGGGAAAATCAGTTATTGATTTGCTTTCTAACTTTGGGCCAGGGACCGGTCTCTCTCCATCCGAACACTCTGAAATTCCAGCACACTGCAGGTGGCTTAGAAAGAACTCCGGAATGTCCCCGGAGTAAAACCACCCATCTCTAGGCTGGATAGCCTCCCCTCCCCCCAGGCATGGCTGTGATCAGCGAATTCCACCTGGCAACCCCTTTAAACCCCATTGAAGCGGCTTTTAAAACCAAGGACGTGAGAGAGAGTTTACCACTAGCACAGCACCTCTGTAAACAGTTATTTCAGAAGCAAGTACCTCGGTGGGAAAATTGCCTTTATCTGTCAGTTGGATTCCAGAAGTTAAAAAGAAAGGGAAGCACGTATGCCTCTTGGAAAACACGACCAATTTAACTTCTGGAAATGACTTCACAGCTTGGAGCCCAGCAATGCCTATTTCAGATTAAATTGTGCATTAATTAAACGCAAATGATTTCAGCATTCATCACCTTGCATTGCACCTCCCAGAAAAACCAAAACAAATCCTGGGGTTTTGAGCAGAGCGGGTACAAGCTCGTGCACACACGCGCGCGCACACGCACACGCACACGCGCACGCGCACACATACACACACACACAGCGGATCGGAAGGGCGCAGGCTTTAGGAGGCCAAAGCCCTCACGCGCTTGGCAGCCTGGGCCCTGGCCCGGCGGGCGATGCGTCCCGGCGCGTTGGCAGTAGGCGACCCCCCTCGAATCCCCCCTCTGCTGCGAGCTCCCCGCGGCCCGGGAGGCTCCCGGCGCCTCCAAATGTTTTCCATATTTGTTCAGCCTCCGTAATTCGAATACCAGGGCAGGCTCGGCCCGCCCCGCGCCGCGCTCCAGCGCCCAGGGCGCCGCACACACGCGCCCACCCAGCCACCCGGCCACCAGCCGCCATGGGCAAGGACAGGCAGCCCCGCGGGCAGCAGAGGCAGGGGGACGCCGCCGGGCCCGACGACCCGGGGCCGAAGAAAGGCGCCGGGACCCGCGAGCAGCGCGGGGAGGAGGAGGCCCAGACGTGCTGCGGCTGCCGCTTCCCGCTGCTGCTCGCGCTGCTGCAGCTGGCCCTGGGCGTCGCCGTGACCGTGGTGGGCTTCCTCATGGCGAGCGTCAGCTCCTCCCTGCTAGTCAGAGCCACTCCATATTGGGCTGGGATCATTGTAAGCATCAAGTCTGTTTTGCCTTAAGCGCGGTTGCCAACCCGGAATGCGAAGCCGCGTGGTCGAGTGGAGACTAACCCAGCTGCATGCGCCCGCCCTGCCCCTCTAACTCGCGCCCTGCTTGGTGACCAAGGCGGGGCACACGGCTCCCCCCGGGGGGCCTCGCGGCCCTGCTCCCGCTGGTCGCTCCCGCCGCTGCAGCTGGCCAGGCCAACCCAAAGGCAGCTGCTCAGGGCCAAACGGAACAGCCTCCATAACCAAGCGGCTTCACTCTGGCCTTGGCCCTCCCCTACTCCCCCACCCCCCACCCCTGCCTCCACCCTTGTCCCTAAATAAGTAGCCGAAAGTGCAGGAAGTTCATCTGGCCCAGGCAGGCTGGGGAAAGAAACGCCGGGCCTTGGAGTTGCTACATCGGGCGGTGTTCAGTTTATTTGTTTGAACAGAGACTCCATTAGTAGGTTTTAGGAAATCATGTTCTAAGGCAGGAAATGGGAACGAAGGGAGCACAGCCTTAATCCACCGGAGTCTACAGTGGGAAAACCCAGCGTGCTGGCCACGGCAGAAGTCAGCCTGGGGCCCAGCTAAGGGATGCCCTGTTCCCAGCCAAACAGGGCCCCGTTGTTGGGAGTGTACTGACACAGGTACACACCGTGCTCCATTAAATGAATGTCTGAATGTCAACTGGGTGCCATTATTGAACGCCTACTGTGTGCCTGCCCAGCTAGAAGGTTTACATGTGTTGTTTCCCCTTATGGGGTGGTTGTTCTCACTGGCGTCTCTCAAAATGGACCCAGGACAGAGTCACCCAGGACCAGGAGTTGCGAAGCATTCGGCCAGGTTGAGTTCTTTGCACACCAAAGGCCACTTGCATTTTCCTCCTTGAGGCACCTGACCGCCACGTGGGGTTTGTAATTTTCAGGGGACATCGTATCACAGGGCGGTGGCTTACTAAACTCTTTCCTGTGCGTCGCTTCATTTGACCCGTGAAACACTTGTCACTTCTTGGGCTGAGGGAAGTGAACGGGGAGAGACCCCATGGCCTCTGCCATGACGTCACTGCCGTTTCTGACCACAGCAACGGAACCGTGTGTAACCATCCTCGGAATGATCTCGTATCAGGGCCAGATGGTAAAAACACCTGATAAATATACATGGAGAAAGGAATTTCTCATTAAGAGTATTTGCCTTCGCAGACTCTGGCGGAGTAATTTAAAACTTTTAATTTGTGTACTAAGAATTCCCGTGAAATTACTGTGATGGGAGTTTTCTCAATCAAGTGAATTTAAAAATAGCAGTTCAGGGAGATACTCTGGATCCTTGAGTGGCCTCAGCAACTGTCACCTTACTCGGAGGGAAACGCGTCTGTCTGTCCAGGCGAGGCGAATTAAAGGGACGAGCAATGGCAAGGAATTCCCTATTTTTTGCTTCTTCCAGCTTTACATGGCCCAGTACCAAAGAAGCAGATCCGATGGGGAGAAAACTGGCTTTTAGTAGTTGAGGCACAAACGTAGAAACTGCACCACTCTGAAATGTCCTGAGCCCAGACTGCTGCGGGATATGACGTCGGTCATTGCTGCCGGAGTGTGACCCCAAGGGGGTGACGTGGAGCCAGGCTCTGGCCCTTCTGGTTTGCTTTGTTGGAATCCAGGCCTCATTGGAAGCCTGCTCCTAGTGTGATAGCTATAATCTCGCTCCTTCTTTCAGCAGAGAATCTGGGTGGAGCAGAGCAGGTGGCAGAGGTGCCCCGAGACCAGCGAGCAGGGTGTCTGAGAAGCCAGGCCCGAGCTGAGGCAACGTGTCACCATGCCGCACAGATACGGTGCTTGTCCTCGCCGTGCTGTGTGTGGCTGCTCTCCGGGGGGACGCGTCCAAGTTCCTGGGGGAAGGTGCAAGACAGTGAGGCTACTGGAGAGGTGCAGATGTGTGCTGGCTGTCCCTGGTGTGGAGCGCAGCCATTCTCTGCCGAACAGTTCCTTCACCTCTCTGGGTTTTCCTTTCTTCACTGCTATCAGAATGGCAGTAATAATGCCAACCTCTTAGAGTTGGCCTGAGGATTAAATAAGGTAAAACAAGTAAAGAATTTTGAACAGCATTGGCTGAGGTGAGCATTCAGTGAGTTAGCTCTTCCTATTGACTCTTGGTGAGACAGCCACTAGTAGTAGTGGCTCTGTTTCATCCAGCCTTTCAGAATGAGATTTATTTGAAAGGCAGAGAGAGAGAGAGAGCAAGCTCCCAGCCACTGGGTCACTCCCCAAATGCCTGCAATGGCCAAGGCTAGGTCAGGCTGAAGCTAAGAGCCAGGAACTCCATCTGGGTCTTACATGTAGGTGGCAGGGACCTAACCACGTATACCATCACCTGCTGCCTTCCAGGTACTCATTAGTAGAAAGCTGGAGTTGGGAACGGAGCTGAGACTTGAACCCAGACCTTCTGATATGGGATTTGAGTGTTCCAAGTGGCATCTTAAGCACTGTACTAAACACCTGCTCGGTACAGTCATTTTTAACTCTGTAAACTTTTCATAACAGTTCTATATTTAATTTTATTTATTTAATGTTATTTGAAAACTAGAGAAAGAGAGATCCATTCACTGATTCACTCCCAGCTGAAGCCAGGAACCGGGTCTCCAACATGGGTGGCAGGGACTCAAGTACTTGAGTCATCGCCTCCTGGCTTCCAGAATGGGCATTAGCAGGAAGCTGGAGTCAGTAGTGGAGCTGGGAGTGAACCCCAGGCACTCGAATATGGAGTGCCTGTGTCCCAAAGGGCAGTGGCTTAACCCACTGCCCCACACTGCTTTGCCTCTCCTGCACCGCTATGAATCCTGAAGCTGACATCAGTTTGTCCATCTCACCTCTCTCGATTTCCAGCCAAATGATTACTTGCGATCTCAGTGATGTTAGACTAGTCCAGCGCTTTCTGAATCTCTCTGGAGGTTTATTGAAAAGGAACTAAAAGAAGAGAGGCTCATCTTCCCTCAGTAATACACCGGGATTCTGGGCTGGTATATCCTGTGGGGAATACTGGAAAAGTTTTCCCTCTTCAGTAGACTCACTAGACCGAAGTACAGGTTCATCCATGGGGCTGAAGGAGAGTCAAACCCACACACAGGGAGCAGGCTGAATTCAGACTGACGCACGCACCCACCTGTGGCTTCACATGCCTCCCTCGGCCGTGTCTCTGTGTGCTGGCTGTCTCTTTGCAGCTGTCATCACCTCATTTTACAAGGGTGGCTAGCCCACTGACTTGGGATTTGGGGAAGCTGGTTAAACAGTACACTCTCTTCACCGACTTTTGTTGACCTGTGCCTGGGTGATGTGATGAATATTCATTGAGGGGACAAAGCCTAAAGAAGCCCTTGGAGATGTATGATCGGATATTAAGTCCAGTGGCATTTGGGGAAAACACATTGGTTATTTCTTGCCTACTCATAAATGCGACTCTGCTTGCCCTCAGAGAGGTGACTGAAGTCTTTTATTTCAGTTACAGAATAGTCTGATAAAGGAAAAGGAACTCTCTTCCCCAAATCCTTTATAGATGGTTTGATGGGTGTAGGTCACACCGTAACGACAACACAAAGTGATACAGGATCTTTGAGGATGAATTTGGCCAGGCGCAGGAAATCCTAGGAAATAATTTGTTTTGCATTTTCTTCTTTGACTTGAGTGGCTGGGTCAGATGGGATTCAGATCTGCTCATCATTCTGGAATCCTTACTGGTAAAATAAAGACTGTGTATGGATGGAAGGAATCTATGACCCTTAGGGTCTTTCCCCATTTCCTTCCCAGATGAACAAAGCTTTGGTTTAGGTGAAGCATTGTGTGTTTGAACTTGGACTTGTTTGCTGCCACTCAGTACTGTTTGTTGAGGTTGTCTGCCACACTAGGCACTGGTCTAAAAATAATGACTCATGTACACTTGTAGGAGATTTCCAGATGTGGATGGACATGTTCCCTTATTATATCTGACAGTCACGAATACTTCCAATTAGAAAATTTAACCTGCACAAAAATTGTTAAAGCCCATTTACCTTTCAAAGTAATTCATTTGCAGTGATTTATTTCGTTGGTATCCGAGCTCTGAAGTCAATCTCAGAGCAGATCTCCCATCTCCAGTGGGGATGTTTAGTCATCACTGCCCTCTTGGCCTCTGTAGGGAACATTCCCATGGAAAGTGGGACTTTGCCTTATTGTGCTTTTGAACTTCCTCCACTCTGTCTGCACGGGTCCCATATCCCATCCACTGGAATAAGAGCCTTGAAGAAATACCACATTGATAACATTAGAAAGTTTAAAACGAGGTCTTAAAAGAAAGAGATGCATGGTTCCTTTATTTAATGTCATTGGTAGAACTCATCGCATTAATCTGGAATGATTAAAAGTCCTGTCAGATATTTCAATAACAGTTTTCATATGGTAACTCCCCCTAAGGAATTTAACATTCAGATTTTAAATGTTTAAGTCAACTTAATTGTATGCTTATTTATTTTAAAACAGAATACTGCAGAATACAGTATGCACATGACAAATAGCAGGCAAGGAATAGTTAGGGTCAATATCCATATTTTTTAGAGAAGCACATAATAGTTTGGCTAAATCATTTGATCATGGTTATGAAGAGAAATGGGAAGAGAGAAAACTTTGGCAATGGGATCTTGGATGGAACCGTCAACAAGTGGAAGGCAGAAGTATTGATAATTTTCTATGTAGAAGCATTGATGTTTGAGAACTTTGATGCGCAGTTATCTTGTTAAGGGTACATATAGTGCATAGTAATATAAGGGATCTTGAGGAAGTGTATGGAAAATACATATGAAAAAACTATGCCTGAATTTCAGAATTTTTTTGCACCAAGATAAACCTAACTTTCAATTCCATTTTTCCACAAAATTTTGCAATACTCTTGCACTGTGTCCACTTTCAGTTTGGTCCGAGAAAATGGGTGCTTTCTAGACTTTGTTTTGGTGTTAGCCTTGTCCGTGACATTGCTGTGAAGGGTGC